GCTTAATGTAGTATATTATAAGAATTTGCAGCAAGAATAATAGTTTTGTTTTTGAATACATGCTGAAATTCGTTGCTCGTTGCATACTATTATTAAATAGTTTTAATTCACAAACAAAACTCATTGATTTAGCAATATTATACTTATATAACGATGCTTATTCCTCTAATAGGGTGTGGGTGTCGGTGTGGGTGTGGGTGTGGGTGTGGGTGGTGTGGGTGGTGTGGGTGTGGGTGTAGGGTATTGGTGGGGTGTGGGTGTGGGTGGGTGTGGGTGTGGGTGGATGTGGGTGTGGGTGGATGTGGGTGTGGGGTATTGGTGGGGTGTGTGAGTGGGTGTGAATGTGGGTGTAGTTGTTATCTAGGAAAAGACCACACCCACACCCACACCCTATTTGTACTACCAAGTAGACAAACATCACCTATGTAGATTTTTATGACAAAAGAAAAAAGAAATGAATAAAAAAACAGTAAAGAGAAACCATGTTGTGACCAGTAACGAAATACTTTGGAAATAAGTTCTTCCAGTCCATATTCACTTCGAGCACTGATTAAACCATAATATTTTAACGCTGTGTTTGCCTAAACCACGTTTTGTACATTCGTTTTGAAGGCATTTACGAACATCAGACAAATAAGATTCACCGTCTAAAATAAAATTATTATTAATTTGAATACATCTGCTATATAATCTTAAACATGCTTTGAAAATAAAGTCAACAATACGTTCCGCTAAACTATGTCGAAAATATTCAGCTTTTGTTTGTAAAGTAGCTTTTGAACTATCCGATATTTTTTGCATATCTGCAAAAAGTTTTCTGAACTTCATTTGTGTAACAACAAACAAATCTACCTTTTAGTAACAAATCAACTTTATTGCCACGAACAAATACAACATTTGGTGAAGTATTAAGATTTTTCAGTTGATTGATCAATAAGATATGATCATGATCGACTAATTGAATTTGGTATATCAAGAGGATCAACAATTAAAATAATTAAAGCACGTTGCCATTTTATTTCTGTTAAAACATTTTTATAAGCTTGTTAATTAATTTCACAATGTGATATATCATTTATATATTTAAAAAGAAAGCATCTTTGACATTCACTAGTTCGTTTTTGTAAATTTGTTGAAAGATAATGTTTATATATTTCGACTGGTATAAAACCTCTACAATATAGATTAAAAAATAAATGATTATATTTAAAAAAGAATAACTTACGGTTTAGTTTTATCAGCACATTGAAGTGGTGCTCTACAACCAAAACAACGAGCTGTTTCATAAGATGGTATTGTTTTATCTTCTGTTCCTAAATCCATTTGAAATTGATTTTCTACCGATGTAAAAGCCACAATTTGAGGATGAGGTAAATCATTTTCATCTTCATTTGTTGATAATATAAGATCATCTTTTGGTATTTGTGAAAATAGATTTTCAGCTCGACCTGTTGTTCGAAATATTGTTGAAGAAGATATTTCTTATTTTCAGATAATTGACCACCAAAACGAACAGCATATGATGGATCTTTAGAAAGAATTTGACGAACTACTGATGAAAGATTATCTAATGAAACAGGTTTTGTTTCATTAATAATGTGTTTTTCATCATTTGATAATGATTGAGAAGAACGACGAGCTGATCGAAAACGATGAGCATTAATTCCAAAAGATATTGAATGTTGGAGAAGTGATATTCTTCGGAAGTTTAACATTTGATTACTAGAAAAAAACTAACTCTTCGAATAGTGGATGAATCATCCAACGTCAATTAATGGTTCAATGGTTATCCATTAAAAAGATTGATGTGTAAATAATAAAATAATTCTTTAAAGTCTAATAGAGATAGAAATTACATGTATGCAAAAATTGTTGAAGAGAGGTCGCTACAGACATCAACTGGAATTCTGTTTGGAGAAATAGTTATCCGTTAACGGAGGAAATTTCTTTCAGAATCAAAACATGAATTCATTGAATAGATGATTGATTGATTGATAAACTAAGTCAATCTGTATTAGAGTCTTGCCATCCCTCAAACACACTATCGAGACCTGTAGTCAGAGTCAAACTACACTTTGTCAGATTGGTTAGATGCTGGTTCAACAAAATCAACCCATCCAAGTCTATGTCAGTAAATCATAAATTCATTG